GGGGGGGGGGAGGCGCTTTTATCAAAGCTTTGGGTTGATGTTGTTCGGATAACTGTTGCTTTTTGTTGGTTTGGATTCTTCTTTGTTTTGAAAGGGCTCCGGCTGCCTAAATCCCTACTTGTAAGAGGCTCGGTCCATCGCTGCATAACTTCTCGCGAACGCGGCCGGCGCCTTTAAAGATGGGTGTCGATGCTGAGGCAGGTTGGGTATCAGGGTTTCGGGCTCTATAGAGAGTAAGGTTTAGGGCTTAGGGATGTTCAGGGTTTGGGGTCTGTTTGGGGCTTCAGGTTCAGCAGGAGGATTTGGAGTGAGTTTCTTGCATTTCTGACGTTCAGTGCACACTAGGGTTCTAGAGCTTAGACCTTCTTGCGCTTGGGTTCGAGGGTGTTTCGTCTTGAGTAACTCCCGAGTTCATTCAGCGACCCAGCCCCATCCAAGCCGTTGACCACCACCCCCCTTTTTCCAAAAACAGAAGGCATCGATGCTCCCAACGTACACCCGCCAAGCCCTCGATGTGAAGCCAAGACCCTGGTGGTAAGAGTGTTTCGCCCATATTCCCTGGGGGTCCGAATTCATGCTGAACACGGGGAAGTCAAGGATAGCTGGCGGTTATGAGTCTGTGGGTTCTTGGGCTACATGATAGGCAAGTCAACTTCACAAGGCAGTCGATAATACTGACTTACTTCGTCGGAAGTCGCATAAACAATCATGCGAGGGGGTCCTGCATGAGGGTGGGGAACTACTCGTTGTGCTGATGGTTCGGGGCGAGGGGGTTACTGCAGGGCTTCCTTCCTCGCCTTACTTAGAGCTTAGAACTTATAGGACTGTGCTTTGGTGTCCGGATCAGCGGTTAAAATAGCTCAGGGATCTCTAGTAGGGCTTGGTAAGGTCCTATGATCTTCCAGTAACACCCAACATGTTCACGAAGATCCAAACAAGCAAAGTAGGGCGTGGAGAGGCGAAGGAAAAGGTGCGACGGCTTTAAGCCGTAAGCTCATGAAGGTCATGTCTTAGTAACTATGGTAAGGCAAAGGCAACAGCTGTATCTAGGAGCTTTGGCTGTGAGAAGGAATAGGAATGTCAGCCTGTCGTTCGCGTGGTTCCAAGAACGGGAGTGTGCATGCCACAATTGCATTCTTTTTATGCCGGAAGACATTCTGCAGGGCAAAAGCTAAACCACATAGCTCCAGAGACTCAGCTGTTGCAAGGAAGCTGTGAAGCCTTTGAACGACTGTCGATGCGTCGAGTCGGTCGGTTGTCTCTCTGTCGATATTTTGGCGGTTTTGCACGGGCATGCACGCGCATGTTGTTACGTGTACAGTTATACGTGCGCGAGTACAATGCACGCACGCATATGAATCTTGACACACGTTCTATGATCAATATCTGTTATGAGTACTGGTGCGACTGTTGTTAGCAGTAGTTTTTCGCTGGCACATTCGATCATAGTTGTTGTAATGATATTTTCCTGCTTTTGAACATTCATGTTGCCACGATTAATAACATTAACTACTACTCTTGATTCTATGTGTCAGTAGGTGTGTGTGTATATATACACATACATATAGGCAGATTTTCTCGTGTAATTTCATATGCCAGATCGCCAAGAAGAAGATGGCGTCACAGCCCGCCGTGAACCCAACTTCGTCGACGAACAATAGCTCATGGGAGAGAATCTGGGCTCTTATTAAGAATTTTTGAGTTACAATAGCAATACGATTAATGAGGAAGCTTGTTGTTTTTCTATAGATTCCCATTAGCCATATTATAATAACTTAAGTTCCTTGCCAAACCCAGGAATGACGTCTCCGTGGGAGGGGAAGACGTCTCCAGGGGAGAATTTCGGAAAGGCCCGGGAGGTTTTGGGGCTTCAGGGGTTTATAAGGGTTTTGGGATGGGGGACAGGGGCGAAGATTCAGGATTCCGGTTTCAGTGCTTTGGGGGCATCGTGACTCAACGGGGGCCTGGAAAACACCGGGGGTTGAGGCTTGGTAATTTGAGGGTATGAGTTCGGGGCACGCCTGATCTCTGATGCTGTTCTTGCCTGGTTGCGATGCGATTCGGGTACCAACTTCCTCCTCCGAGGGTGCACTCGTTTTCTGGTGCTTTGCCTGGGGTAGTTGCCGGGTATATAGTTAGGCATGCGCAGTGTGCAGGCTGGTGCAGGCTCATCTTGACTGGTGGTGATCTGTTGAGTTGCTGAACTCTGAGAATATCCACCAACTATGCGCAGCACGGATTTCCGAACAGCTCTTTCGGTGCGCATTTCTAGGGTTTAGGGTTTAGGGTTTAGGGCCCTAAACCCTAAACCCTAAACCCTAAACCCTAAACCCCAAACCCTTCCTCTACACCGTAAAGCTGCCAGTTTCGGGCTTGTGGTCCGGTGTGGTGTCGAGGCCTTCTCTCTCATATACAAATACTAACTCCTACAGTCACACCTGTATAACTTGTTTGGTAACCCATTGAATGCCCATGGCGCTACCACTGACGGTCACCCTAATATAGGGGCCTAACTAATTATTACCTATATTATTGAGGGGGTTCCTGATTATAATTATACCATAAAGGGCCCCAGAGACCTACTCTAATCATTGAGGCCCCTATATTAGGCCGTTAGGTCTGCGGTCGTGGGGAGAGGGTTTGACGCGCGATTTCGTACAAGGGTTTCGGGCCCACTGCCGCAATGTTGTTTTAAAGGAACAGCGTCTTGAAAAGTGGTAATAAGCACAACATCCTCAAGAGCGCTTTTGGGGTGTGTTGGAGTATACTTTTGTCACGACTACAGCGGGATAATCTTAAGTACTTATCGCTCCGACCTGACTCAGAGCCTGCTGCTCAATCGAACCCGCACACAACTAACACCCTAAACCCTAAACCCTAAACACCCGAACGCCCCGAAGCTCTAAAGCCCAAAACCCTAAAGCCATATGCCCTACCACGGGCCCTCAGCGCTAAACAAAAGCCCGCACCTACAAAGCCCAAATACCTACCACCACAAAACACCGAACGCCCAAACCCTGAGCCTTACTGAATGCCCTCTGGTCTAATTCCCAAAATCCAAGCTCCTAGAAAGCCTAAGCCCAAAACCATAACCCCGGGTTAGGGCTAGGGTTTCGGGTTTTTGGGTTAACCTCAGCCCGAAACCCTTAGCCTTAGCCCACTGGGAGGTCGTCTCCGATGGTCACGAGATGGCAAAAACAAAATCCGATGAAGAGGCCGATGCTCACTGTAGTGGTTTCTCAGACTTTTGGGGTCCTCGTGCTAGGGATTTCTTATCGAGGGTCCATGTCTACACCTTTGTCTATCGGGGTTTAGCATGCCTTCTATAATGAGGACACACACACACACACACCTGAGACAGTGTATTTTGCGTGCAACATCGACTTCGACATCTTTCGATTGAGTCGCTTTTGGAATGCTGGCCTTATGGCCTGGAATGCCGGCCTCGCCGGGTGGTCGTTGTGGCAATGTTGTCCGTCCGTGTGTGTGTGTGTGTGTGTGTGCGTGCAGCAGTTTTGCGGCACTGCCACGTGGCTCCAAAGGAGCTTTCTGACATGACATGCCTGACCATCAAGCTCAACCCTGACCAGAACGCAGACGCTTCTGCATGGGGGTATGTAACAGGGTCACGGTTCAGGGTTTTGGGTTTCGGGATTAGGGTTTTGGGTTTCGGATTTCGAGATTGAGGCTTACGGTTTGTGGGTTTCGAGTTTCGGGATTATGGGTTTTGGGTTTCGGGATTAAGGCTTTTGGTTTCCGGGTTAATGCTTCGGGTTTTTGGGTTTTGTTTCGGGATTATATATTATATGGTTCTATATATATATATATATATATAACCTCTGGAGGGCTCATGCGGCTTGGTATTATATCGACAGATGGGCTCGATCAAGGCCGTGTATGTGGGAGTTTCATAAAATACGCGGAAACCATCAGAGTTTACAGGATACTGTACTCGCAGTCAGAGTCAACATATACTTACAATCATGCCATCTATATCCTCTTCATGCTGGTATCCTACAGGTTTTCCCTTAAACCCTAAACCCCAAACCCTAAACCCTAAACCCTAAACCCCAAACCCCAAACCTTAAACCCGAAAAACGCGAGGTGCTTAGGTCCGATTTCTTGTGGGCCGCCTCCCGCGAATCAGCTGCGCTCGGAGGGGATGCCTCGGGTTTAAGCTTTGGGGTTTAGGCTTTAGGGTTTAGGCTTTAGGCTTTGGGGTTAAGGCTTTAGGGTTTAGGGTTTAGGGTTTGGGGTTAAGGCTTTAGGGTTTAGGGTTTAGGTTTCTATATGGAGTGTACGGAGTACGTATATGTTTGCATCATGCATGCATGTAAACTATAAGCAGGATATAAAACCGTTATATAACCCCTACACCCTGAACCTGAAACGGCAAAAACCCTTCTTGCCCAGCGACTCCACAATCGCTTCATGAAGGAATACTCTATAAGTCATGTTGGGCTTTGGGTGCAGTGTGTGGGGGAGGAGCCTAAACTGATTCGAGGCATACCCTTTTGGGCTCTGAGCCTTATACCCAAAACCCGAAAGGCACGGTTCACCTTGCACATATCCTCAGCCAGGCGGCCACTTCCGCCAAGAATCTGAGGTCGGCAAAGAGTGCGAGGCATCGTTGAGCGCAGGGGCTTAAGAGCTGAATCGGCCTGCAAGGAATTCTAAGCAATCTTGGCACCACGTTGGTATGCAGATGTCAGGCCATGTGAAGGGGCCTTCATGCATATGTGGGCATTTGCGCTGCCGTCTTTTCTACAGTCATGTAAACGTTTCTCAACTCTATCCAGTGTGCTATCTTTGCTGCAACAGGAAAGTTCCAGCTGTGTATTGTCGAAGCTACTCTGGTTTACCGCTGAGTTGAACCTTGCGCATCCAGGTACCCTCATGCTTCGCCTCGATAGAGATATGTGGGTAGTTCTCTAAATTAGGATCTCTTTAAGGGTCCTGTTTATAAGGGTGCCGTACTATATTTGGGACCTAAAAAGGGACCTCAGTTTAGAAAATAACCCATGTAGACACATGCCATGCGTGCTCGGGATATGGGACGTTTTTTGGGGTTTCTCAAGGGATCAGACTTCGAATGCGAGGAGCTCTTTCTTGTCCTCTGAGGGAATCACTGATTCAGGGTCACGGGTTTCAAGCTTCAGGTTCTAAGTTGTAATGCGGAGACTTATTGTTCCAAGACCCAACTCGTCATGATTCTGAAAGTTCGAACTGTTCAACCCAAGGGTATTTGGGAGGTAAGAAAATACCATACCGCTGAGTTGAAGACATCAGTGATTATCATCGTGCACGCGTCGGTGTGGCTATTTGGATGGCGTGAATTTCTGCTTTTTGCACGTAGCGGGCACAGGGTTAATGAAGTGAATGCACGCAACTGTGTGTGTAATGGTAATATATATATATATATATATATATATATATACTTATGCATTATTATATAGCCCGCAAGTTTAATCAACACATGAGCCAAACAATCGCGAACTAGAACCCCCATGGTGTTTACATCAAATGCTGCACGGTGTTTCCGAAGGCAGTCGACAAAGTCTCAATGGTCGAGTTTTGTTCCGCAAGGGATCTTCAGCGACTCGGCGAAGCTGAGAAGGCCTAAAACCTTGAGCTTGGAGGTGAGCATCATGGGGGGGCCTTAATATAGGGTTAGTTTTAACATGCTGTTACATGGTTTCGCAGGGTTACTTTGCGAGTTTTTAAGGTTTTGCAAAAGAGGCATTCACTTTTTGCAAAGGAAGCCATAACTTTGAGAGCAAGTTTTCGGGGGTGTCGTCTTCAAGTATTTCCAACACGGTCAAGCAGCCCACCAGCCCCCAACCGAGCCCTGAAAACCCCCCAAGGCCCCAACTACTCATGCCTACACCCGTTTAGGGTTTTGGGTCCTAAACCCTGAAGCCCTAAAAGCCCTAAACCCTGAAGCCCCAAAAGCCCTAAATCCCCAAGGCCCCTAACAGCCCTAAACCCTGCCCTGGGACCCCAAGACGCCATAAAAGGGACTGAAGGATCCGGCTCCTGGCTTTACCCTTCGAGCATACAGGCTTCCTTGTAATGAGGGTTCTAGCAGGGTGCCTTCAAGCCCTAAGGCTCCATGTGCCTATGTAGTATATACTTAGGCCTTAAAGTGCCCATATAGGAACCCCTTTAAGGCTTAAGTATACTAGGTGGGCACATGGAGCCTTAGGGAAGGGCGGCAATATAGGGGCCTAAATAATTACCTATACTAGTTTGGGTTCCTTATTATAAGTATAGTATAATCTACCCCAAAGCCCATTCTAAGTATTACCGCCCCTACATCATAAGGATTCCTTTAAGGGTTCTTGAGAGGTTTCTTCTTAATGTGTGCTACAAGAGCTCCTCTACGGGTTCTAGAAGGGCTCCTAGAAATCTTGGCTAGAGTCTTGGACGTTTTCAGGTGGGCAGTTACTGTTCTAGGAGCCTTATAGAAGGTCTATATACCTTAAGTATAGAAGCCTAAACCCTAAACCCTAAACCCTATATGCCCTAAACTCCCCAGCTGTAGTTTCCTTTAAAAAAAGGGCGTGTTTCGGCTCCGGGGTGTGGGGGGTCCCAAAACTCGGGGCTGCTAGGGTTTCCGGATTTAGAGCTGAGGGGCGTGAGCAGAGTTTGGGGGTTTAGGGTTTAGGCTTCGGGGTTTAGAGTTTAGGGTTGAGTTCAGGGTTTATTTTAGTATTTATTTTAGGGTTTAGGGTTAGGCAGGGTGAAGTTATGTGGCTTTGGGCAGGGATCCTGCAAAAGGTCCTGTAAGGTGAAGGTGTCACTTCGGGAATCCACGAGGTGTCAACTCTGGGCGCCCTAGTCTCGTATAGGGGCCTGAGTTCAATACTATTCCTTAGGCCGAAGGGCTCCTGAAGTGCCTGATTCTAGGTATACCTTACCATACCAGAAAACTCTGTTCCAATCATCAAGGCCCCTATGGTACCCAAGCTTTAGTCATGACAAGCCGCAAGCCTGTGCAATTTAGGCTTTCTAGGTTCTCTCGTGCTTTCTGAAAGACCGAAGCTTCTCAATCTTGGCGTCAGGGGTTGGGTCTCGAGTTTCAAGAGCTAGTCGCTTCGGCTTTCGGCTATCCGAAAGCCCAAACCCGCAAGAGTCCTCGGCGTTTGGGGTTTATGGGGCTTTTCGGCTATCCAAAACTTGAAGCCCAGAGCGCGAAACCCTAAACTGAAACTCGCCAAACCCCAGGTACGTTCTCGCATTATGACCTCGCCTTGCATGCGGTGGCGGAGACCCAGGAAGGCCATCAACGGGTCGGCGGTTTTACTGGTTAGGACTAGGGTTTAGGGGTTCAGGGTTTAGGGTCTTTGGCTTTGGAAAGGGCTGTTGGGATCGGTAGGTCTACTGTGCTTGGATTGCATTCTCGCTCAAGGGTTCTTTTGGTACTAGTTTGAAGTCTTCGGATTTACGATTCGTTGTTGTCAAGGTGTGCTGGGGTCTTGTAAGCTGAGTATTATTTCAGGTTGAAGATAGGAGCCTCTTTAAAGGAGAATGATGTTGTAACTGTGGCAAAGCCTTCTGACTAGAAGACTTGGCTTCAGCAGTTCGACGACTTATGATGAACAGATCCGGATAAGTTTGGGTGCAAGTGCTGGAGATAGGCGACCAAGGAGGCTGTCAAAATCAAGACCTGCCAAACCGACGGCACAACAGGAAGCCTCAGGGCTAAGTTAGGACTGCAGTAGCAAGAGCAGGTTTTATTATTGATATCAATGCGGTGGGTGTTCGAACAAGTGCTCCGCATGCATTACCAGACACCAGCACAGGAGTCGAGGCAGGATTTAAGCTGCAGGACCCTTGGATCAGGTAGCCATGTGGACATTTTGTAGCGACAAGTTTATATTTGATGCTACCGTAAATCCCCACCCCCCTGAAGCCCCCAGACCTCTAAACCAACGTTTGAAGCCCTGATAACCCTAAACCCTAAGCCTTGAAACCCTAAACCCTCAACCCTAAACCGTACACCCAAGGCTGAATATCGCCCTGAGGCCCCGAAGGCCAACATGAAATTCGGCCCTGGGCCGAACAGCCCTCACAAAATGAGTCCTTCGAGTCTTCAGATCTTTTGCGGTTGAGGGCTTAAGGGGTTTACGGTTTAGGGGTTAAGGGTTTAGGGTTAAAGGTTTATAGTCGAAGCCCAAGCGCACCAGGCGCTCATTCACGCATGGTGTTCAACAACATGTCCCTGCGAGATGTCGGGGATGACGCACGTCAGGCGAGGCTCACAGACAGAACTCTGGGGTCTAGTGTGGTTTTGTAGGCGTATCGACTTGAAGATCTGTCACAGTAGAGGATTTCTGAGAATTCAGGGACGTGTTTTTGTTTTTTTGTTGTGATGGGGGGTGAAGTAAATAAGAACCCAATATTCGGGATCTATGTGGACATCAGAGCTATGGCTTAAGAGCGGTATTGGCCACTTGGCAGATGCAGGCTTGGGATGTAATGTAGGGGCCTTAATACTTAGAACAGGGTTTTGGGGCTCAGTATACTATAACTATGACAAGGAAGCCCCACAATAATATAGGTTATTATTTAGGCCCCCATATTAGGCATCAGTCATGGCAGAGAGCAAAAGCTGTGGCTGTAGCTTGATTAGACCTTGATCTGAGAGACCTGCAAGATTTTTTGCATAGCAGTGACCCATGTGTAGTCTTTTGGAATGCTGGAGTCTGAGCGTTACCTATAGTCTCCATTGTAGTTCCTTCTTTTGGCTTGCATTTTTTAAGTACGGATCCTACAAGGTAGCCCCAAAGAAAAAGGAACTGCACTGGAGACTACAGGTATTTTCTGATGGCAGGAAAGCTGCGTCCAGCGAATTGTCCATTCAAGCGTGCCTTGAACCAGGGGTTTGCTTTTTGGGATAATTCTGGCTTTCCCTTATTGCTTAATCTTGAGCCCCAGTCATACACAGTTTTGGGGACTGTTGACGTCGACACCTAGTTTGGGGTCTCGGGTCAAGGGGAAGTTCAGCAGTTCTACAACTGCTCGCGGGGCTGGTTGATGGCCGGTCATTGGAAGATCGTCTTAGTGCAGTATCTGAGATTGATTGTTCTTTGTTGGGGAGCCATACCAATCGCTTTAGACCGTCATCACTCCCGAACTTCATGCCAGTTCAAAATTAGTGACAAGCTACCGAGTCGAGGATACTAGACTCAGGTATAGGGCCAATCCAGAAAGAACTGTGGAGAGCGAATGTCACATGCTCCATACACTGGCTGCATGGGCCGCAATGCATCATTATCATGTTGAGCATCACAGCACCAGCATCATTGCTATAGGTGCTATCGAACCCCTTGGTGCTCCTTGTCGCTGCCAACAACATCACTGTGATGCCATCGGGGAATCAGGTGGTGGTGATGCTGAAGACGACATGTTCAGGACTACGGTCCTGAGCATGATCATGAGAATCAAGACTCTGATGATGCGCTGCTGCTGATGCTGGTCATGATGATTATCATGTTGGTGGTGATCGGGGTGGTGGCGATGATGAAGATGACGACGATGATAATGACGATTTCGATGATGGTGACTATGCTCGTTGTGGTGATGATGCCAATACAAACTGCTGCAGCCGATGATGGTGATGATAATGATCATGACGACGACTTGAGTTACGCCATCGGCCTTGATGCAGCATAATTGTTGCTTGCCTTCCTACTGTTCCCGGTGAAGCTGAATCGGCGGATGAAACTTTAGCCCGATACTCGCAAACTGAGCATCCGTCCAAGCTTCGGTATGCCTACCCGGGATGCTTCAAATCCGGATGCAGCAGTTTTTGGTTGTTCATGAAGAAAGAACCCTGCACTGCCATTAGAGGCGTTGGCAGCCTGAGGCTTTCGACCTTCTCTGTGCCGTCGCTGTCATGACGAATTCGCTCCATGGCGAAAACGGCCAACTTTGTTGTCACAAACCAAGATAGGGGCCTTAATAACTAGAATAGGGTTTTGCGGACCATGATTCTATAGTTACAATACGGAACCCCCAAAATAGTATTGGTAATTTTTTAGGCCCCTACAGTATAGCTAGGAGTTAGGAGGATGTACTTGCCGTAGTTAGCATAGTTGCTGTTGCTGCGGCGGCTAGTGCTTGTAATGAGCATGATGATGATGATGATGATGATGATGATGATGGTGGTGGTTGTGATGAAGCTTCACGGCCCAAGTTTATGAGTGGGACCCCGTAGGGGCTTCAGTTAGGGGCTTGATTGTGAGCCTTTGGATGCAGCAACATGAGCGCAATCAGTGCATGCGACGGCCGAGTGCTTGCTCGGAGAGCGTTGAAGAGGTGTCTCCAGGTGCTGCTGATGTGGCTGGTGCTCCCGAACATCAGCGAAGGGTGCGCCCACGAGGGCCACCTCCACCGCCAGGAGCCCCTGTCCATGATGATGGAGAGGTTGACGATGCCATCGAGAGCGCCGACAGCAGCAGCAGCACCTCCACAGAGGTGCCCAGCGTCGTCTCGCTTGAGCTCATGGGACCTCTGCTGGACCGAGCCAAGACCCGTGTGCTCACTCTGTTCAGAGAGGAACTCAATGCCACCACACCGTGGGACAGCACCCGCCGCATCGCGGGCCGGCTCGGCTGGGCCAAGCGTGACCTCAAAAACCGAGACTGGACATGCACCAAGTGGAAAGCTCAGCAGATCTTGTCTGGAACCAGACTTCAAAAGTGGAACGACTATGTGGAGGAAGAGGGGCATGCCCCACGAGATGAGTGAGCCTTTGCATTGCAGCAGTCGCCGCCGAAGGGCGCCCTTCCGCCCGCGATGCTTCTGTGCAACGGCCTTTCAGAGGCCGAACCTCCCGTCCCTCTTCTCCCTAATTGGTTGTAGGCTTTATAGACATCCTAGGCTTAGTCCCCAACACCCCCACCCTAAGCCCTACAGGTGCAGTGGCTCTCCCCATCCAGAATCGGCAGGCCAATGGCAGCAGCCGCCGCATAACGGCCCCAGAGGCGCGAGCGCACCTAGACGTAAACCCCACCGAACCACCCGACCTAGTATCGACTCCGCAGGACATGGCCGCGACGGTCCCAAGTCCGTCGGTTGTGGCAACATCAGGCGTCTTTTGACTCTGCTTATCACCACAATTGAAGCGAGGGTTTCCCTTGCCACCACGACAGGGGATGGACTCGGACTCGACCTCTTTGGGTCGTGGCCGGGGAAGCACCGTGGATTTGCGCAGGATTTCGGCTTTCCTTCAACCCTACGCTATACCCATAGTACCAAACGTGCATACCGTCGCGCCAGGAATCGTGCCCAGCAGTCGCTGGAAGGCGGCACGATGTACCGAGGACAGTGGCACACCAGAGCCACCCTGAAAGCCATTCTTAATCACCCTCACCCCAGCCCTAAGCCCCGACGCATAGCTTTGTCAGGGAAAGAAGCCCGATCCAAGCAGCCTGTCATACGCTGCCTTAGTTGGAACGCCAGTGGCTTGTCTTCAGCCCTGTTCCAGGAGTTCACGGCTTGGCTTGACACTGAGGGCTGCTCTGATCTGGTCGTCCTTCAGGAAACACACTGGGGCCCCTGCTCTGACTTCTTCAGTGGCGATTGGGCTTGTATGCACTCATCAGGACATAACACTGATGTTTCCTTCGACAAGCATGGGGGAATTCTGGTTATGGCTAGAAAACAGGCCTTTCAGAACATGGCTTTTAGGGTTATTTATCCGGGGAGACTTGTCCACTTTCGAGCCACACATGTCAAAACTGGCTTGGTGTGTGACCTCGTCGGTATCTACCAACATGTTTGGCGAACACATCTCCCTGCCGAGCAAAACCATATATATCGTAACGACATTTGGGATAAACTTAGTGCCCTCCTCTTAGGTCTCCCGACCCGCAACCCACTCCTTTTGGCAGGAGACTGCAATGCTGTGCTGCAGCAAAAGGCGCCCCATGTGGGGCCGGCGGCCACCAAGGCCAAAGCCACTGCAGGCGCCACTGCCGACAACGCATTGTTGCGGATTCTTAGGGAACATAACTTGTGTGTCTTAAATAGCTGGAACGTCAAGCCACATTTTACCTTCGAATCGCACCAAAGTAAGTCCCAAATCGACTTCGTTATATCCCGCCTTAAGGATAGCAAGGGCTCGGCCAAACAGGCTCACCCCCTGCACGGTTTCCCAGTAGGAGGCTGGCGCCAAGGAGGACATTGGCCCGTAGTGGTTACCCTACCCATCACCCCCTTCAGCCGTAGACCGCAGGCAACTGCCAAAGCCGACGTACCATTTGACAAACAAGCGTTGCAAGCGGCTGTACAAGCTGACAGCCAGGCGGCTGCAGAGCTACGCAGCACAGTGGAGCAACGGCTGCAGGCTGTGCAGGTGCGGGGGCTCCTCGCCACTAGGAAGTGCATCAATGACATCCTTAATCAGTGCATCCGCCTACATTTTCCCTTAAGAGCCAAATCTGATCACCGCGTCAGCGCGCAAGGGGCCTACCGAGCCTCGGCCCGCCTTACCTGGCAACTCTACAAAGAGTTCAAGGCACCGCGAGTCGCTGTTGGCCTTCGTGTTTGGCAAAAATGGTTTGAGCATGCAAGATTTCGCCGGGCATCCCAAGCCCTACGCACTCAAAGCCAGCAGCTCAAGAAAGCTGCGCTTTTAGCCAAGCTGAGCATGCTGCCACCACAGGCAACCAACGTGTGCTACACCGCATCGTCCGAAGCTTGGCACCGCCAAGCTTCCACATAGTGTCTCGGATGCGCGATCCCAAGGGCAATCTCCTCAGCAAGACCGAAGAGCTCCAGCGTGCTCTCACATATGCAAAGGAGATCTTTGCCAAGCATCCGGATAAAGCCCTCGTCCCGCCCTTGTTGCAGGACTTGGAAGTTACGGACGCTACGGTGCAAAAGGAGCTCAAGAAGCTCGGTGCAACCAAAGCAGTGCCCCAAGCCGCGGCACCTGCTGCAGCATGGAAGCTTTGCCACCAAAGCATCAGCCAGGTACTGGGGCCGGCGCTGCGTGCTCACTTCCAAGCAGGAAGCGGCACTCATGTGATGCAGGAGCTCCATGATGCCAGCATCACCCTAATACCCAAGCCTAACAAGCCAGCCACGGATGTAGCCAATATGCGCCCAATCGGGTTACAGTGCCCGTCTGCAAAAGTCGTAGCAGGAATCATCCGGCATCAGCTGGTCGCAATTCTTGACCCCTGGGTCCGTGATAAGCCCCAATACGCCTATACCAAGCGGAGAGGAACCTTCGATGCCTTGCTCCGGGTGCACATGCACTTCGAACAGACGAGTCAGCTGCTCAGAGCCAATCGCATTGATCGTTTCCAGCAACATCAAGGGCAGCAACGTCTCCCCCTATACGGCGGTATGAGCTTGTCACTTGATTTGTCGAAAGCCTTCGATCTCACAGACAGACCTCGCCTGCACCAAGCATTGGCTGAGTTCGGGGTCCCCCAAGATACCATCACCATTGTGCAACAGCTTTACAAGGACGCTAGATATATATTCCGATTCGGAGCCTCGGAAGGGTCGATGATCCCAACCAATGGCTTGAAGCAAGGATGTATCATAGCTCCTTTTCTATGGTGCTTTTACACATTGGCGTTGATCCAAACCCTGCAGCAGAAACGAAGTGAGGAATGGCTCCTCAAAACCCTCACCCTGTTTGCAGATGACACTTGGGGTAGTTGGCTTCTTCAAAGTAGAGTCTTCCAAACGGCGCTCTCTGACATCACTGTGATCCTTGAAACCTTGATTGAATACCGGATGGAGGTCAACTTTAGCAAAACGGCCGTTCTTCTTCGGGTTGAAGGCAAAAAGGCTAAAGCTGTTCTCTATGAACACTGCTGCTATAAAAATGGCGTCAGATACCTTCAGGTTCCGGTTCATGGTAAGCTTGAGATGCTCCCCATCAAGGACACCCATGAGTACCTAGGCACCAAAGTCTCGTACAAGCATCGCCTGGACAAAAACCTCAGCCATCGTGTGCAAGCTGGGCAGGGCAAGTATCAGCAGCTCCGGAAAACCCTCAATGGAGAGCACGCCCTGTCATGCAAACATCGCGTCAGGCTGTGGGTAGCCTGTGTACAAACGAGCTTGTTGTACTCATTGCCTGCTGTTGGGATCACTCGCGACGGCCTGTCCAAGCTCACCACAGTAATGACGAAACACCTGCGTGCCATCTGCAAGCAACCTGCTCACCTCACACACAGCACCAATGACTCCATATAGGGTCGAGCTGGTCTCACCCTGCCCGGGCCAACCATTCTTAATGCCGTACACAGTTTTACCGATAAGCTCGCGAGTAAATCCCTTGAAGAGCCTGACATCACCACTACACCTGAGATTTTCACTCACCTGCAACATCTCGCCACCTCCATCACTACCACCAGTACCACCATATCCACACAGCAATCGACACCCGACGCTTCGCAAGCTTCGCTTGACTATCCCTGCCCCGAATGTGCTGTGCCTTTCTCCAGTGACAATGCTAGGCGCATTCACTGTAAGCTTAAGCATGGCTATCTACCTGAGCATGCCACCAGCAGACCAGTCAAGTTTCAGGCGCATCTTCACGCATGTGGGGGTCTGCCGCAGTGTCAGCTTTGTGGTCGCAGATTTGTAAGGTGGCAACACCTCCGTGTGCACATCGAAGACGGGTCGTGTGACCAGCTTGGAGGTGAGAGCTTCACCAAGCACCCTCCCCGCAACCCTGACGCCCAGGTCGTAGACGACGTTGTGGTGCCGGCCGGTGCCACCCCGGATCCACATGCGACTGGTGCGCAGCAAAATCTTCCGTTGCTGATGCGACCTGAGTTTCTTACACAGATGGGTAATTGGGAGGGTCTGCTTAGAGAGCCTCGCCTGCGCGCGGATCTCCAGGCACACTGCACCATATGCCACATGTGGGTAGCTGACTTCAGACATGTCCGACAGCACATCACACGAATACATGAGCCAGAGTACCCTGGCATCATTGCTGCGGCACTGAAGCATTGCGAAACTTTCAAACGGCAGCTCACACGTGACCATGACTGTCCGTTTTGCCGCCGAAAGGTCTGGAGCTCAGGGCGACACACTAAGCAGTGTGTAGTGTCGTGCTTTTCCAAATTTGCGTGGCACGGGAATACCACAAGCGACAGGTCGGAGGCGGAACCCCTGAGCGGCATCAATCCGGAGGCCGACATCTTTGCACACTGCCACCCGTCCCTGCTGACCAGCACGGCCCCACCCATGGGATCGCAGGGCACCGGCAAGGATCAATCCAACAAGAGGGCGAGGCAGGAACAGGAACCCCAGCCAACGCTGGCGGTACAGACGCCGCCAAAGGGCAGGGGGAAGGGGAAAAATGGAAAGAACAATGCTCACCAGCTGAACGAATGCATGCGCCTCCTCGCCCGACTGTTGATCCAACACGAGGATCAAATGGCAGCCCTCAGAGTCGACAAGGCATTCGTGCTTTTTGCAAGACAAGACCAGTACTCCATCATCCCGGCCATGTGGGCCATCTCCCAGGAGTGGAACCGCAAGCGGGAGGAGGATCCCGACGCGCTTCAGTCACCACTGAGGACGCTGCTGCTGGCATGTCTAATCAAGGAGCTCATGCAAAGGATTCAGAAGATGGTGGCCACCACGGAGGGTCAGGACAAGCTCAAAGCGGCCAACTGGCAAACCCCGACGGGCGAATGGACTTACATGAAATACTGCCACAAAACCAAGAAGCTCATTCCCAACACGGACAGACCCAGCATGGACCACACAGAGGTTATCCGCCTCCTCACCTTCCTGTTGCAGACAATGCAGGGAGAGATCATTCACAAGTTTTGCAGCACCCGCCCCTTGAAGCAGCTGGAGGCCACAGAGACCCACACGCCTCAGGCAGTCTTCCTGTTGGAGGTAAGCCTCAGGGAGGAGAAAGCATGGGAGGTCCACGAGGCCTTCTGCAGCCTGGCCGGACTGTCAGCTTGGCAACTGATTGGCATCTCTCTGAAGAGGGAAACGCTGCAGCGTACGGCGGTGGCCAAGCAGGTTGCCAATCTGCTGTACGGGCGCTAAACTTGAAGGATGCATCCTTGCAGTCTCAACGCGGGGATGGTGCAATGTGCCAGGGCCCCGGCAGCTCAGCATCACCTGTACCATGGCAGACGCACCCCTTTGGCCCCAACCGCAATGCCAGTACTCTCCCCCCTAGCCCTCATCTTCATCTTCATCATACTCTTCACCCTAGTCCTACGCACCCCCCACCGTGTCTCCCTAACTTCTCATTTTCTAACCCCGGTAACCACTGCTACCTTAATGCCTTCCTTTATGCCCTTGTAGCTGCCGCGAATGCTACAAGATCCCTCGGCGATCTCCCCGTCGCACTCCAGCAACTTTCAGGTCGCAAGGGGGTTCGAGCAATGCAGCTCATGGGGTATTTCATGCTTGGATGGCCGGACCCTGAGTCCCAACACGATGTTGCCGAAGTTATCGATTATCTTCATCATCGACTTCTCCCTAGGTCCCCTGGGGGGTCATGGCAGGGGCGCCGGCAAGGCATGACAGGGGGTCTGGACAGGACCCCATGTGCGGCATTAACACAGTGCATTCCTCTACCATTGCCCACTCGACATAATAACGACTTACAGCATCTTATCAATGAATGGCACAATCAGGAATATTGCCAAGCTCTTTGTGATGCAGGACAATGGGTGTTTCTCCAACTGCCGCGCTTTCAGTGCAGGAGCGGTCGGATCATCAAAGCCAGACAGCAATATCACCTCTCTCCAGAATTGCAGGTGCCACTTTTCGCACGTGACTCCTCCTTGGAGGTGCTGTGGCTCCCCTACAGACTTGTAGCAGTCATTCGTCATCACGGCAACTCGCCCTCGTCAGGTCACTACACAACGCTGATTGCTGACACCGGGGGCTTCGCAGTCTATGATGATGATAAAACTGTTCGCATCGCTGATTCTGCTACATGCAATAAGGCAGGTCGTGACATGTATATTCTCGTCCTAGCGTTGCTAGCCCGACAACCTGTGTCTGCAGCAGCTCCTCTCCCATCCGGTAGTGTACACCCAGCTTCCTCGAATGGCAATGCTGTGGCTGCGGTATCAGCAACTGCACGGGGAGGAGTGGATCGCCAGCCAGCTGTATCTCCAGGAGAAACGGTTGGAGCACCTTTGTCAGGACATGCACATACTGCAGCAGCGCCACGATCACCTGCAGCTTCAACTCAGTTATGTTCTGCAACAACAACGCATGATGCACTACATGGCAAAGACGCAGCTGAATCACAACAAGTGTCCAGCTCCGCTCCCTCAGAGTGTGGACTTCTGCGCCATGGACTAAGGGAAGCACAGACCGAAGTCGGCTCCGCTACCAGTGAGCAAGGCATCAGACGTTACTTCAGCAGGTCACGCTGAGCGGTCGCCAAATGCTTTAACGAACTTTTTGACGTATGCACCTTGTACAGCGTAGGGGCACTCTTTATTGAGTAGTAAGCCTTCCAAAGGGCATCCGTGCCATGCCGTGAAGATCGGCCGGTGCGAAGCACTGTAGGCGCGCGCTGGACGAGGACTCATTCTCGCCGCGGGGGAAGAAGAAGGTGGTTGTGATGGGATTGTGATGGTGATGGTGGTGCTGCTGCTCCTGCTGCTGCTTCTGCTGCACTGTTGTGGGTTTTTCAACACTACTATCAGCTGCCGCTACTGCTGCTGATGCTTTTGGTGGCTGTGATGGTTGTCGCCCCATTATTGTCGGCCCGTGTCTCGTTAATGTTGGTCTGGTCGCGGTGGTCGTGGCGAAGGTGCACGAAGACAGTGTTGCAGTGTCGTGGCGTTTCCGTTGCTCGCTTCTTGTCAGAGGCGATATTTGTGTGGTATTTGTGCTGTTTGGGCCAAAGCCAAAAGTGAGTGGGTCGACCTGGAAATGCCACCTACATCTTCACTGCGCATCACACCAGGTAGGACCCCTGAAAGTGCGGTATCAGTATCATGGCTACCATAGCAACAATCCTCATACTCATAGTCGCAATGTGATAATAGTCAGAGTCACAACCAGCAAAGCAGACTCAACACATGCATAGTTCTGACAGGGAACAGCATCACCATTGCCATAGTATGCATATTTGCTCAGAGTAGTAGCATCGCAAAGAATGGTAAGTGATTAGGGACCCTTGATGAAGATCAGGATCTTCATTGGCATCGTGCCTTGGTATGCACGAGGAGCGTCGGTCTCGAGCTGAGTCTCGAAACCTTACTTGAAAAAATAACGGCTATAGCAGCCTTAGCAATTAGTACAGGGTTTGGGGATACATTATATAGTATATATGCTTTGGCCTTCAACCCTAAGTATTCCATATATACATGTACTTTAGGCGCAAAGTATGTAATATGTGGGTGCATGGACCCTTTGGGACGAGTGGTTGCATGTACGAGAAGGGAAGCCAGGTCTCTCCGGACGGTTCATGAGTTTTGATGTCTAGGGTTGAGGGTGTAAGGTGTAAGGGTTAGGGTGTAAGGGTTACAATATACTGCTTAAGTTCAACAATTTGCTCCTCGATACTCCCAAATAGCCTTCACGCTGCTTGTGCACCAGCTTCCGGCCTTTCATAAGCTTTTACGACTGCAACATGACACATGCCGCAGCTAACACAATGTTTGATTTCGCACCAGGTCAGCTTGATATACATGAAGAAATGCAAACACACGAGGCACCCTACAACCAGAAACCCTGAAGGCACTGAGCCCGAAAACCTGAGCCCTAAACCGCTCAATGGCGACTTTGGGATGCCGTAGTGCGGCTACGAAAACCGGAGTGGTTGTTTGATTGGTTTCTTGTTCTAGCAGAGGAACATTTTGACATGAACGTCCTGTCCAGTGTCGCAAGCCCCAAAAATCGACGCCCTCAAACTCTAAACCCAGAAGCCTACGAGGAAGTGCAGCTTAGCCTGTCGGCAGACAATGACGTCGCGACAAGCATCCAAGTCATTCAATATGCAGCTTGGTGGAAGCATCGTAACATCAAGACTCTCGTCAGGAGTTGGGGCTTTTTTGGGTTTAGGGTTGTTTAATGCAACTCCGCAAGGGTCCTAAGTACCTATATAGTAGATTGTAGGGTGTCTATAGTAGGAATTGCTTGTATGATTTGGGGAAGTATCTCCCATAACAGAGACCAAGACCTTTTGGGATTGCTCATTATGATTGCTACAGTGTCACGACGTGCTGGAGCGACCCACCGAACCGGCGCTTCTGTGCAAAGCAGTCTGTTGAGGTTTAGGGTTTCGGGTTAAATGGTTTAAGAAGCTACAGTGGCGTCTGAGATTAAAGGTTTCGGGTAACCGTCCACTGCTGTATCACTCAACTTGCCTTGCCAGAAGGAAGGCTCGCATTGCTGTTCTGAAGTGATTCCCGGGATAGTACCCGCGAGCGAATGCACTCAACAAGCCTGTTCCAGCAGGTTTCAGTGATTTGCTCGTCGTTGTAGAATATGACCTCTGTCCATGCTGGAAATGCTTCACCACAATTATCGCTTTGGCATCGACTTCAGTTCTCAATGCATGACTCCATTTCAGGGTTAAGGGCTTTGTCAATTGTCACCTGTTTTGCAACACCAAGAGCTTGGGAGTTTTAGGGTTTGGGGGTTTAGGGTTTCGGGTTGGATTTTATAAGGATCTTTGCACAAGATGATCTACCCATGCATAGCGAACGTTGGCATGAATCTCGGTAGGTTACATGTGCGCGCGTGCGTTCCTCATGCTATATGCGTCTTGCTGCCCTGAAATCTGAGCTTCTTGTTGGCTTGTTGGGGCTCCGGCTCTAGACTCTAGTGGCTTAGCTTCCAAGCTGTAGAGATTTCGTTCTGGGGATCGAGTGCTTAGCGTGTAATTAGATTTGTCCGTATCAGCATAAGGTGCCCGAGGTACTGGTATGGGGGAAGACTTTCCCAAAGTCTGAAGAGTAATTCCTACTATAGAACCCCTACACTCTACTATATACCTAAACGCACGCACTTAAGACCCCTAAACCCTCTACTATACAGGTACTTAGGACCCTTTGGGGTTTAGGGTTTAGGGTTTAGGGCCAGGTGTATGCCGCCTGGTTTTTCCTCGAGCTGGCCATGCGCATTTGGGCAGATGGGTGCCGCATCTTCTGCGGTTCGGACTGGTGCCCCAGCTGTGACAAAGGGTTTCGGGTTTTAGGGTTTTAGGGATTCGGGTTTTAGGGTTTTCGGGTTTAGGGATTTCGGGTTTTGGGGTTTTCGGGTTTCAGGGTTTTCGGGTTTTAGAGTTTAGGGGTTAGGTCCCCGTACCCCAATAGTACCCTTGCCTTTTTCTTTCCCGGCTCCCTGGTTAAAGCGGAATAGTAGAAAAATTGGTGTCCTTTATTATTCAGGAAATCTGAAGCCTCACATCGTATGTCCAGTTTGTTTTTTTATGGGGGGGATTGGCGACGGGTTTCCGTTAATTTTGCTGGACTGGGGCTCTCGCCGATGGTGAGACAAGACGTGCTTGGTTTCTCATCCGGAATCCGATGCCCTCAATGCCCTCGGGTCCGCGGTGAGTTTTGTCGCATCATCGGTTCGCACCGAGGTTGCATTTGCTGTGGGGATAAACCCCCGTCCCGAACCTTATGCATCGCAAGTGGTCCACATGATGCACTCGCCGGCCGTGAATAAGGGTTTTCGACATTATCTCATTTGTATATACCATGGAGGTTTGTGGGATGCATGCCCAGTGTACTCTCAGAGAGACAAATGTCCTCCACGTCAAATATGGTGGTGATAAGATTTGTCACCAGTGAACATATTCAGCTGGAGCCTGAGGATACTGCATAGAGCACAACCCTTACTGTACCAGTCCAACTGAAATCCTCCTGCCAACGCTCGCCTGCAAAATCTGCGAAGTTGTCCTGGGGCAAAATCTGGATTTAGCAGTCTTCCCTAGACTTTAATCCCTAAACCTCAATAAACCCGAAACCCTGAACCCGTAAACCTCCTGAACCCTAAACCGGTGAGCTTTGTTCAGGACATGCTCTCAGATAAACCACCCTTAGTTCGCTCTAAGTTGTTGTTGCTGTGAGGTGGCTCTGAGGGCCTTTGATAGCCGAGATTCTGCCTACAGAAAAGGGGGCCAGCACAAAAAGGCCGAAGCACGGTTGCGAACTTTCCAGAATTTGCAAAAGGTAGGTTAATCGGGTTAAACCCTAAACCCTAAACCCTAAACCCTGGTAAGCCTTAAGCCGTAAACCCATGACAAAGCCCTAAACTCCAGAGCCTTGAGCCAAGCTCTACTAAAGCCCGAATACCCAAGTCAAAAACTGACTAAGGCTCATCAAACAAACCCCCATGACACCCCGATGAAATCAAGATAGAACCCGATAGAATTCAAATTCTGATACAAACCTACCAAATCCCGAGTAAGCTCCTTCATCACAGCCTACAAAGTCAAGGATGTGGAGCCTCCTCGATCTCCTCGTTGTGTCCATCTCCCTCTGGGAGGTCGTTGCCGATATCATCTACGCTGTGGACAGCCCCTGGGCGCAGAGTGCTTGGGGCTTTGTTAAGGGTTTGGGGTTGAGGTGAGGGGTGAGGGTGTAGCGTTTAGGGTCTAGGGAGGGTTTAGAGGTTGAGAGATTGTCGGTTTAGGGGTGTATAGGGGCTAGGAATTGTAGACTTCAGAGTTTTGGGGGTGTCGTGGTTGGGGGGTTTTAGGGTTTAGCGACTAGGCGCATTGAGTTTAGGGACTTATTCGCAGCATTGGGATGGGGGCTTTGGGGTGGCGGGCTTATAGGGGACGAGCATGAGCGTGGTGGTGATCATGGTGGTGATGATGATGATGACGGCTATGAACTGGATGGCGACAACCGCCGTTATGTGGACGACACCCTTGTCCGCGAAGATTTTCACAATGTTGATGTTGCCGGTCGTGGTGGAGATGGTGATGGTCATGGCACTCTTAGGCATTATTGAGCCTTCGGCCACGGGCAGCCTAAGATCCCGCCATACTTTCCCCGAAACCCTTGCCATAGGCCCCATAGTAGTTCCTTTTTAGGGTTCATATTTAGAATCCTATAAGGTAATCCCAAAAAGGAGCTACTATGGAGCCATATGGGTAATGCCTCGAAATCCGAAGCATCATCTGCCCGCCGCTATGTCCTCTACCCTGGCCCCCGGTCCTCAAAACTTAGGTCTTGGGGTCCTGAAGTCGAAACCCCGAAGCTGAAGGAGCTAATGCAGGGGCCTTAATACTTAGAATCTGGCTTTGGGTGTTCCTTATTATAATTGTAGTATAATATAATTGTAGTATAATATACCCCAAACCTTATATATTCTAATTATTAAGGCCCTATATTAGACCCTAAACCCTAAACCCTAAACCTTCTTGAAAATTATTAAGGCCCCTATATTAGAGCCAGAAGCCCAAGCCCTGATCCCAGAGCAGAGCACAACTCCCCTTAGAGTTCCTATATGGGGGTTTCAGAAAATAGGGGACCCTAATATCGTACCCTAAATAGTAGGATCCTTATTATAAGGACCCCCAAATAGGGTACCCTAATTTCCGGAAACTCCCCTTTGGCGGGCTGCTAGGGTTTAGGGGTTTCGGTGCTCCTTAAACCCTATAATTACACCTGAAACTCACATAGTAGCTTGGCGTTCTTCTAGTTGGCTCTTGGGACTTTAACTTTTGGGTTTCTATATGAACCATAATAAGTAGGCTAAACGTTCACTTTCAGGAGGGGTTCAGAAGTCAGGCAAGATAGTACCCCCCCAAGTCAGTAACCTGCTTTACTAAAGGGCCGGGCTCTTAGAGTCCCTCGGCCATCAGGCCCGAAACACCTGAACCCTAAAATTCAAAACCACAAAGCCAACAACAAAGCAAGCAAAGCCCTGAACAGCAAAACCCTAAACCCTAAATCTTGAGCATCAACACTCAAGCTATATAGTACACGACAGGCAACGACATAAGTGGCAATGCGGACGGAGTCACCGGTCTCAAAGCTCTACGCATTGCGTCTCGTCTTCATAGTTTGGGGGTTTCAAACATGCTTGTTATAGTTTTAGGCCTTAGGGTTCAGGCTTACGGTTTATGGTTGCTGATTCCTTCTTGGCGGTTTAGGTTTTAGCATTGTGGACAAGAATCAAGATTTCTGGGACTTGCAGGGTTTGCGGTTAGTTAAGGGGTTATGAGGTTAAGGCGTCATCTGCTTGTAATTCGAGTGCAGGACATTGGCATGTTCTTCTCTAAGAAGGGATCGAAGACGTCAGAACTTGGGACCGAGGTAATAGATGTAACAGCTTCCTCTAACGCTCACAAAATGGTACAGTAGACTGCCAGCATTCACAGCAACAAAAAAAGCAAGAGCTGCAAACGCACCGACACCAGCACCACCAACCGCAGCAAGACCAGAGCGCTCTTGTACGACATACGCAAAGACCATGTATTGCTGATAAGTAAGCGCAGCACTGGTTGTCGCAAATGTTTCAACAACGTTATAAGGGGGTCATTGGCACAGGAATGAAAAGAGTGGAATCCAACCTGTCTTGTTGTACAGTTTTCAGCCCTGATTGCTGCAGGGTCTGGGCAGCTGATGATAGAAAGGGCCACTGCAAACACCAGCAACCCAATTGACCCTGTACCCTAACCCTAAACATCGTACACCCGCACCCTTCACAAACAAACGATCCTTTGACAGGTCCGGATCACGCGAATCTTGAAGGCCAGGAACTTTGTGTTGGGGACTTCAAGGTGTATGGCCTTGGGGTTAGGCTTTGGGGTTTGGGGATGTTTGGGATATCTGCGGCCCATGAGGAGCATTTCGGGCCTCTAGGGTTCAGGGTCGATAAGGCTGTAGCCGGCAGTTGCGTGTTGTTTCCGGGTTGGTATATGTCAGAACAGCAAAGATACAGGTGCTGAATGTTGGGACTCGCGTCTACCACCATCTTCTACGTGTGGTCATTCTACTCATTCACGTCGTGTGGAATTCGTGTGTAACCCTGAAAAAAAAGTTTTGGCATGCTCTGTTGACTGTGGCAGCTGGAGCTGTTCTGCACACAAGAGGGCACGTGCGTTCAGATCGGGTTCCGAAACATCCATTTCCTGAACCATAGCCCTAAACCCTAAACCCTCAGCCCTAAGGGCTGTGCAATTTTGCTCTGGGCTCTGAATCCCAAGGCCCTCGGAGTGCTGGAAAACACTTTACAAACCCTGAAACTTGCAGTTCACGACTAGTAAGCACAAGCGTCACACATTCAGGGTACCTCTACCCACAGGCCCGATAGTAGTTCCTTTTGGGGATTACCTTGTATAGGATTTATGAACCCCAAAAAGGAACTACTATGGGGCCTATGGGTAAGTAGAAGAGCCCTGCGAAGCTGACATACCGAAACGGCGCTTCCCTCCGCATCTGCGCGGCAGGTTGTTCGACTCATGCGCGTATTTCGCTTTGTGCTGGCGTTCCGAACCCTCATCACGACATGCCGGCTCGCTTTGCCATGGGTTTCAAAGCTTAACTAAAGAACCGCGGCTACTTGAGGGTGTCGGGTTTAGGGTTCCTAGACTGCTGCCATAGAGCGACCGAGAGAAATCACCTGGTATGCGTACCTTGTGCAATGCAGGTGCGAGCCTGCACCACTACATGTAGACGGGTGGATACACACGCAGAGATCCACATTCATACACACATATCTGGTTATACACATAGTGTACAAAACACATACACAAATACGAGGCATACATACAGACAAGACGACAGTGAGACAGACTGACATATGTACTGCATACATTGCATCACGCTTTATAATAGTGGATCATATTATCATAATACCTGTTATGCTATACTATACTCTATTATGTTATGCTATACCATGTTGTATCGCATCGTATATTCTATTCTATTCTATTCTACACTGCCGTATTCTATTCTATACTGCCGTAGTCTATTTTATCATATGTTGTAGTGTACTGTATTCTATTATATGTTATTCTGTTATATTATGCTTCAGCATAGTACAGTATACTAATTATGTTGTAAACTCGTCAGTCGTCAGTCCGACAGGTTGTTAATCGCGTGGGCAGGCCGTAGGTTTCAGTGATAAGGACTGAGTCGCACTTTGTGGTTTCGGGGTTTAGGGTTTAAGTTAGGCTTTAGGGTTTTCGTTGTGCAGCACTTCGGAATCGGAGCATGTCGGCCGGAGAATGTCATGGAGGAAGTCTTGTGGACACACACTAAGAGCTAAACCTCCATCGACACATTGAGGGTCATAGCTAGACTGAAGCAGGTCATGATGTTTCTGACATCTGGAGTCTTTGACCGGACATGGCCTCTGTAGACCTATCCAGGCCAAAGCCATAGGTCCTGAAACTGCTCCGTGGCTCGGTATGTAAGCCCTCAAGACCCGGAACCACCAAACCATCCGAAGGGAAGCAGGGGGAGTCCGGAAAACTGAGCCAGGTCGATCGCTTTTACGCTGAAGTCGCTCTTTTGGGCTCTCATGCTGCTGTTGCTGATTGTATATGCAGCTGAGCCGAAGAAGGTAGTGATGTAGGATTCAAGCAAGCGTTTTCCATTATGTGCATAGATCTGTACATTGTGTTTACACACACTGTATAGGCATATGTAATTGTGCATTCATGGGAATCGTGAGTATATGTAAGGTTGCATGTGCCTGTACATGCCTATGTATGTATGACTATGTGTGCATGCATGCATGCATGCAGACATGCGTCGGAAGATTTCCAACCCAACAGATCACCACGAAAAAATCGAACTAAGGGACTAAGTCGTCCTAGAAGCCTCCATGTGAAAATCTCCGCTGTTCCGCTGCAGATTGTGTGCAACAGCAACTGAGCAAGCACGGACAAGGCTAGACGAGGCTCTGAAAAGCATACGGCACTCAGCATTGCTCAGAACGAACTTGGGACACGTGTGCACTCACGGGAATGGCTGGAAGGGAGGAGACCAGGAACAAGGCCGGATTCCGTTTGCAATCCGACGTTTTCACAAACGATTGTGACAGAATTGGATTCCCGGAAGCCCCCCTAAACCCTAAACCCCAAACCATGAACTATAAGGCCTAAGCTCTAAACCGTAGCCTCGTAAGCGGAGACGTCTTGGAGCGGTTCCCCAGGTCATAAGCCTGACAAGCTCGTGAGCTGCACGCAGGTTCAGACATAGTAGTAGTAATAACAATAACGACAGTGTTTATAGTGATAAGACAAAAGAAATGAAATAAGATAAAGATAGCATCAACAAGCATAGAATTATTAACGTATAGTAATAAGCATAATCTTGATAGCAATACTGACAATGACAGCACTAGTAACACATGGTGGCAATAGTTATAAGGCACAGCCCTATATATATATATATATATATACATATATATATATATATATATACAGCCGAGGTTTTTGCTGTGCTCTTTTGCCAGGCAGCCTCTTGGCTAGCAGTAAGGCGAGAAGTAATGGTAAGCACTGGTGCCAGGAGTAGCTTTAGCAACATCTGCCAGTGCCACCCATCACGCCGGTTGTCACTGGTGCAAATGCTACCAGTACAACTACTGGTACTAGTGTTCCGTCGACGTCTGCCACTAGCACAGCCACTACTACCGCCTGTACGACCATCACGACGCAGACGACGACCACGACCACCCGCATGGCGACGACGACATCGAAGACGACGAATGTTGCTGCTACTGCTACCCCAATCCTGCTCCTGGTCCTTCTACTGCTGCTACTACTACTACTACTACTACTACTACTGCTACTACTACTACTACTACTACTACTACTACTACTACAGCTGCTACTCCTACTCCTACTCCTATTTCTGAAACTGCCACTGCCACCGCCACCGCTACTGCTACCGCCACTACTATTGTATCTGCTGCCACTTTGTCTACCACTCCCATCCTCATATTGACTGCCACTGCTACGGCTACTTCTACGACACAAATGCTACCAGTTACTACCAGCGATCGCTGCTGCTGTTGCTGCCTTTGCTTCCTCAACTGTAGTGCAGATGTCCGCTTTTGATCCAAAGCCGGATGTTTCTGTTCCAAAAGATGAATGTATGGCGGCTCTGAGGTGAACGATTATATCGCGGACTCTGCGAACCCAGAGCTTCCAGAATATGAGCTCCGAATGTGCGAAAAGCATCTCGGTACAGCATGTTTAGGCTGTTTCTCGATTCTGCTATGCCTTTGTTCGTTAACAAAGCAAGATTTTGAAAACTATGGTTGTCGAAAGCTCCAATCTCTAACCCCTGAGCCCTACAATCCTTATAATCTTAGGATCCCAGACCCTGAGCTCCACAATCCTAAACCTTGTAATCTCAGGCTCTAACCCCTAAGCCCTCACATAGACCTTACACCCGCAACCTCAAGTCGTCCACACCATGTGCCCAATGTTTTCGAAGCAGTCTCGCGCTCAAGCCGAACACAACCGAAAGTAGATGCCGGTGATCTGTCGTACCAAGTTGACTGGACTTTGAGAAGTTTTGCTCATGGTTGACTTTCTACCCTAGCAAGAGTCGTACTTTATAGTTACACTTGCAGAAATTGTGGATGCCTGTCAGGACGTGTCACTGAAACTGCAGGGACTGTTGGATGTTGCGAGTGCCTTGAGCCCCCACATTCTGCAGTCATTACAATCAAAGAAGTCGCCCAGGGATCACGTTCTGAATGAGACCCTAAACCCTAAACCCTAAACCCTAAACCCTGAACCAGCCTACAGGTGCTGTTTTTGCTTCAGACTGTAGAGTCTCCAGCTTAAGAGGTTTCGATGATTCTTTTTCGGGGTTTAGGATGATTTCTTGCACACACGTGCGGCAAATCGAAAGGGAACCAGGGTGACGACACCCAGTTTTTCAGTGCAAAACTCACGTAGCTGCACTTCCAATTGGCTAAAATGGGAGTGGAAATATTCAGCATCATTTTTGTTAGGGGCCCTATACCCCCCACTCCGAAGACAACACAACGGGGGCCCCAACCTAAACTCCAAAGCCGAATGCTAGCCCTTGAAGTAGCCCTGAATAGTCACCCTTCTTGTGCCCCGTTTTCTTACCCTAAACACTACCAGTAACCCGTACACCCCCCTCCCCCCTTCCGCGCAACGAGGTACTTCGGATCTGTCAGCGATACCATGATCAGCTTGTTCATGAGCATCGCAGCTGGAGCATCTCAGCCAGCCATCAGCTGATGATGGTTTAGGGTTTGGGGTTTAGGGTGAGATGAGCCTATGAGTTTTATCAGTTACGAGTTTGTCATAGGCCTCCCGATGTGTCCTGATTCGATGTCAGTCCCGTAAGTCAGATGGTTCTGCTTCGATGTTATATTGCGGTTGTCCTGGCCGTCATATACTAGTATGTTTTTCGTGTCCAGATGTTAGGAAGTAGTTAATACAGCATTTTGGTGCTAACCGTAGCATTCCAGGATCACCCAAAGCTCCGTGATCATACGGTTAGGCTATTTCACGCAGTATCCGCCAGGACCTTGGGACATGAGATCTCAAGCATTGGTTTCGCAACTATTTATAGAAAGAATAATCATCATCGTCATCAGGCAACCCAGAATACCCGTAGGAACGAAGTTTGAAAAGGACAACAGAAGGTTCTTTCGCGATCCCGTGGCCTTTGCTCTCATTGTGGAGCTGCGAGGCCACTCGAATCGAGCTACTTCTGCCGAAATAGAGAACCATAGCACGAACTACGGCAGCCAAAAACACCTGACTGCAAGCTTTGACGATCACCTGAAGCGAAGCTGGAAACCAGCAGAATGAAAAAGAGGGTTGATGTGCAGGACTGAGTGCCCCGAAGCAAAGCGAGATTGAAGCAGCACTCGAAGTGAGGGCTATGAGTTTGTGTTTTGGGATTGCAGGGAGGTATACCTGTTTTGAGGCTTTCCTGGGGCTGCAGGCGTTGTTTAGCGAGCTTAGTGCTCAAGACCCGGACTTCAACATCTGGAGGGTTTTAGGGCTTCTAGGGTCAAGGGGTTTAGGATTTAGGACTCTTGTCGGGCATTCGCTTGGTTTGTTGTAGCTGCAGGCATTCTCCGAAAACAAGTAAACCAGCTGAACTCCCGGCCAACCGAATCAGCCAGCATGTGCGTAAACGGGAGTCATTGCCACATGAGATGTGCCGGTGGATTGAAGCGCAACGTGCATATACGCCGTGAAGATGTCTGTATCCGGACCCCATCAACTAAATAAACTATTCCCGTTAGCCTCCACATGCTACTTGAACACATTCTGAGACGGAAGCTCCAATGCAAACTCGATATTGTTGACAGCAGCATCATGAACCGAATCAGTTTTTACCCGCTAGCCGCTAGTTGGCTCGTGGTAGTGGTTGAGCCTTGATCCGAAATTCATACACGTTGGTTGGTGGTTGCACACATCTATATGCATCGAGTGAGGACTGTAACTGCTGTCCATGTAAAGCAAAGACATGGATACAGACCATTGCCGCCGGCCCTCTCATATTGTGCTTAGGGCTTAGGGGTGCAGAACTAGTTGCACAGAAACGCACACCCCAGAGGCACAGCCTTACTTGTCGGGTTGACACGTTGCGATCGAGAGCAATGCCTAGGTCAGCTGGGAAAACGTCATCGCGCCCCTGAGACTAATCTCTGGCATGTGGGCGCTTGTGCCCCTTTGTCTGCAAGGATCACAGAAAAAACACGTGCACAGTGACCGAAGAGCTATGCCTGGCTTATCAAGACCGGCGGTGGTTCATACTGTTGACATGTAATGTAGGAACCTGATTAAGAAACCCTGGCCATATAAACCCAATATATTCGGGTTCATATTAAGAACCCTAATAAAGAGCCAGGCTTTCTTAATCAGGTTCCTACATTAGTAGACACTAGTTCGACGATGGCAAGGTGCAGCTTGTAGTTGCAGAAACAGGTGTTGTCGATGTGGTTACAAATTAAGTTCGGCACAAATTCCCAAAGGGTCCAAGTACTAGTATCGTATATACTTTCTGGGCCCAAATACCTACTAATTACTAAGTACCTACTATAATGGTACTTGGACCCTTCGGGAATTCATGTTCGAAAACCCTCGACCTTTGTTGCGCGCTGCGAGGGAAGCTCGGTAGTCTCGTGGCATGACGGGCTGGTAGACTTCAAGCAACTCTTCGCATTCATGTCTTCCACCCAAGCGCCAGTTTCGCAAGCAACCAGTGTTTGTGGACTGCATAGAGAGTCAGAGGGGAACATTTGCATACTTCCGGGTCATGCGCAAGCAGCTGCACGTCGACATCAGGTTCATCTTGTACGTGTCGTTCACGTATTTCGCAGTTCTCAATGTGGTGACAGGCACGGAAATTGATGCTGCTTGTGTTGTGGCCTGCTTGGGGAAAGCTGCATCAGCCTGTCAGTGATACATGGATTCAGCTTGACCTGAAATCAGAACAGAGGGCCCAGAACCCGGCTTGCACTCAAAACTCACCAGCAGCTGTTGTTTCGTGGAAGGGGTGTTCTGCCAATCAGCGATTGCAACGTGGTTGCAAGCCCTAGACCAAAGTCACATGTTTCTCACAGGTAGCGATTCCATTTCCCCTAGGCACCCATGACCCGACTTGCTCGCACCACGAGCTGCACGTATAGCTTGCCTTGTCTGTCTGATGGCATTGCTCTCTTTTTTGTTTACTAGTGTTGTTTTTGTTGTGTTTTTGAAGTACCACTTTTGTCATTGTTAACTGCTACTGTTCATATGACTAGCTACAAAGTTATGAAGCCATTCTTCTTATTTGAGGTTGCAAACCCTCTTTTAAAATATGAGCTACGCGGAGAATCCCCTGTGAGACCCGGCAGGTGCAGGGAGTCGTTGGGTTTAAAGTCGAAGCCATGATCCTCACGCCTGTGAGGTATGCGAAAGGGGATCCCAGCACTAATCATCCCAACTAAACCCATGTTCCAACTTTCCGGGATTCAGTATAGGGTTGAGGATTTAGGGGTATGTTGACGTCCTAGAGGGTCTTGCAGAGTAAAACACAGTATTTTCAGACCCGAAACCAAGCCCCAAGCACCCTAAAACCCAAATCCTCAAGCCTGAACCCCTAAAGCCCGAAACGCGAAGCCGAAACCCTAAACCCGAAAGCCCTAAACCCGAAATTCCTACAACAGCTTAAGTCTAGGGCCATGTTTCCCACGCGCTGCTCAGGAAAGCGCACAGAATGACCATGCGACCATGGTTCAGTCAATTCTGAAGAACAAGGCCGCGAATGATGAAGTTTAGGGATTTGGGTTTAGGGCTGTTGGGCTTTGGGTTCATATTCAATGTTTGAGGCTTTGGGTTTCAGTTTATTGGTTGCGTTTACCCCCGGCAATCCAGATGCCTATCCCATCATACTTAGGGCTATAAAATGGCCGTTCGGGTTGAGGAGTTATCGCGGGGCATCTTGCGCCAGACTTTCATGCTTAGAATTTACTGCGCAGGGCTTGCCGCAGGATTTCTGATCCCAGTCTCACAGAACAAGATTTATAATGCACGTTTTTAGGCTTCCCCAAAAGATCCTAGAGGTACTGTTATGGGGAATGCCTTCCCCAATCATGTATTGGATTTCCTACTATAGAAAGCCTACATACTACTGTATAGGTACTTAGGGCCTTTAGGGCCTCCGAGGATTCTTCCGGAAGCGCTGGTGTCTGCCATTTGTGTCTTCTGAATTCCTGAAGTGCTTCCTGTCAAGATTGAACCGCTCTCTTGCCACGGACTGGGAACTAGTTCGGCCTTTTTCCAAAGCCATAGGAGTAAGAGAATCCCAAATGCCTTCGAAGTGGTACGATGGTGTTTGTAGACTTCGAGAGTGCTGATTGTGTATTGGGTGTAGGGTGTGGGGTAGACTGTCTGGTGCTTAGTAGGGAATGGGGGAATGGGTTATAGGGACTACTATAAGGAACCTTAAGGGACTATCATAGGGATCCATTCCCCCATTCCCTACTAAGCACCAGACAGTAGAACACCCCCCCTCCACCCCCCTGCGCCCAGAAGGGAACGACAGCCATCGTAATTAGCGGATCACTTGTCTGAGCCCTTGCGTTGCTTACAGGAGGCCCACATCGCCAAGATCCATGCGACTCCTTCGCATTCCTATTTTGCTTAAGGCTTTCTGTTTGCTTGCATGGCTTTGGCTTGATGTATTCACTTATAGCATTAGGATGCATCGTATCCGATCAGATATAGATGAAGGTCAGTCATCCTGACAACCGAGTTATGCAAGTAGACATGTGTGCATTTGCATCACCCTAAACCCTAAACCCTAAGACTAGCGAGGTGGAAACAGGTGCTCAAAAAAAAGCAAACCCTAAACCTTAACCCTAGGTCCCTAAGCCTTAAACCTTAAACCCTAAACCCTCAAACCGAAGACCCTTAAGCCCTCATAAGCCCTATAAGCCTAAGATCCCCATACTGCCCACTGCCAACAAGGGCTTGTTCAGCCAGCTCGGCACGGAGAACACGGGAGTCACTCGGCCTTGCCTGGGAGTTATTCGGGCTGTAGAGGCTGACGATTTACTAGGGGGTTTAGGGTTTAGGAGGTATTTAGGGTTTAGGGTTTAGGAGGTATTTAGGGTTTAGGGTTTAGGAGGTATTTAGGGTTTAGGGTTTAGGAGGTGTTTAGGTTTAGGGTTTAGGAGGTATTTGGGGTTTAGGGTTTAGGGTTTAGGGGGTATTTAGGGGTTTAGGGTTTGCAGGAGTCCCTAGATTTCCAGGTTTAGGGCCCAGGGGCTTTGGGGTTTCGGGGTTTTGGGCTTTAGGGACAAGGGTTTCCTTGCTCATGCCTTGTCGGATGTGTCTTGTTAATCTCATCTCAGAGACGGCCACACCGGGCGGTATCGAATGATATAATGAGCCATACTACAACATCGTATAATGAAATAATAACAGAATCTTTGTTTGTCTATATGTATATATACATATATATGTAAACATATATATGTATACTTATATATATGTATATATATATATATATATATGTATGTATGTATGTACGCATATCAGCAGGATGAAGCTGCCGTGTGCTTCTTAGCTAGCGGTCCTCTGAGCTGCAGAGCGTTGTCAGCTGTGCTGCAGGTAGGCCGTCCTTGGAGGTGCAAGTAAGGTGGGAGGCAAGTTTCATTTGAAACCCTGCACCCTACACTTTAAACCCCTAAACCCCTAAACCCCTAAACCCTAAACCCTAAACCAAACCCTAAACGCCTAAATCTCTAAACCCTGAACCCCTCAACCCCCAGACCCCAAACCCTAAACAGGGGATGCAAGTCAACCCTCAGACTTATAGTTTCCTAATTCCTAAACCCTAAACCTATAAACTCGAGTCGCTCTCCTCGACACGCCTCTCATTTTTTGTCGGCTCGAGGTGATCACTTTTGCCAACTTTAACGAGAAGATCAACACGCCCCAGGAGCCTTCGGGGTCCTGAAGGGTTTAGGGTATAGGGTATTGGGTTTAGGGTTTAGGGTATAGGGTTTATGTCTCATCTGTAACTCCACACGGACTTTTGCCGACCGTCCGGCTTTCATAATACAATGTTCGAGGCGCGGTGCTGTTGCAGCGATACCTTGTTTAGGCAGGAATGCCGGAATGCCTTCATGTTCCTTCCTTCCTGGTTCTAGATAGCCAGGCCGTCTGTGTAGGGGCCCTGATGCAGAACACCGCTAGAAACATGTTGGACACAAACCCATAAACCGCCATTAACCCAGATCACCCCCAACTTGAATCCTTCGCAGGTCAGGGCCTATTTCGAACTCCTCGGCTTGGACGTCTGGGATGCCTCCTTGCCAGCACATTCGATCCTCCATCAGAAGGGGACAGGGTCTGGCAACGTTAGTCCCTAGCCCGCCCAGGTACCTAGTATATATTATAGGATACTAGAGCCCCGAAGGCCCTACGTAGTAGGTACCTGGAGGGTTAGGATAGCCCTAAACCCTGAACCTTGCGATCGCAGATGACAACATGTCGATGGTTTGGCAGTTGTGCTGCTCTGTTCCGTCGGGTCGGGTCCTATGTACTGTTGTGGGGGATAGCTTTCCAATCATACTATAGTAGTTCCTGCTATGCACGCTATACGGGTACTCCGCACTCTTCGGGACTGTGTGTGATGGCTCCCCGATTTGTGATGCTTCATGGACAGGACAGGAGACGTGTTTCATCATTCTCCTGCGAGCAAAAAAACAGTATGCATGCAGCCGATGTGCCCAGAATGAAAACTCCGCCCGGCAGTATTCCTATCAATTTCACGTCGATGCCCGGCCACAAGCCGTACAGTGGTTCGGCTGTGCTAGTAGTGTCTTGTCTCGAGGGCTCTAAGCAGCTTCTCGGCACGAACCTGCAGTAGTAGTAGTAGTATTAGTAGTAGTAGTAGTAGTAAGTCGTCGTCGTAGTAGTCACCAGTACCAGCCTCTTTCAGGTGTACAGAGGATGTGTATCTGTGGGGAGTAGCAGCACCCTGACCACAGCGGCAACAACAAAAACACAGCTCTAGTCCGCTCGAGCCCCGCAGCCCCAGATTCGCGATCCCCTAACCCAAAGGGTCCAAGTACTAGTATAGTATATACTTTTGGGGCCCAAATACCTACTGAGTACCTACTATAATGGTACTTGGACCCTTTGGGTAACAGATCTTTACGTCCCCTTGACTCAAGACCAAGACCCCTTCGATTCAATGAGGAAGGCTTCTCGCCAAGCCAACATGGAACATGAAGCACATCCCGAGAGCAGGCCCTACCCCCCTAAACTCTCCAAAGAGTCCATGTATCCAAAGAGGTAATCATATACTAAGTAGTTCAAGGTCAAAGTACCTCTACTACATGGGCACATGGACCTTTAAGCCTTTGCGCAAACCCTGAACCGCAAGCCGGCAAAAGGCTTGGTCTTTCTTCAAGCTCTTGGACTTGGATGATAGTGGAGATGTCGCGGTGGAGGAGCTTTGGACCAGGTTTTTCAGGGCTTGTAGGGTTTAGCCTTTCGAAGGGGTAACATGCAGAATACCACTTTGGAGCTCAGCAGAAGTCAAGGACCGCACGCGTCCCGGAGTCCTGAGTTGGAAAAGAAATGGGTTCCGTCCGAGCTGACCGGCATGTTTCAAGCACACATCAACAAAAGCATTTGTACTCTGCACGCGCACATATATTCTACATAGCATGTGTCAGAAAACAACTACCTGCAAGCCGTTCACATGCGTATGCTTGCATCTGCACATAGTCTTATAAACGTGCATGTGCAAATAGGCTCACAGATGTCTTTGTGTCGATATCTCAAGTTTTGCGTTACATTGAAAAGGAAAGACCAGCAATTCTGATCAAACTGGGCCTTGTGAAGCTGTTTCTCTGAGACAGCTGCTATATCTATTCCCACAGCTGCTGCCCCAGGTCCAAATTCAACTGCTCTGCCTGCCACTTATCGCCACGTGCATGCAAAGCATGCACGATTCTCAAACACAGGGGTCTGAAGAATTATTTACAGTCTTTTTATCGTCCTGGCAGCATTGTACTGTAAGAAATTACCCTCCACCCCCCCCGTTCGAACCTTTGCACAGTAACTTAAGGCCCGAGGCCCAAAATCGGACCCTTTCATAATCACTTAAGGTCCCAATTCGAACCCTTCAAAATCGTCTGAAGCTCCAACTCGGAGCCCTCATAGTCATTTGAGGCCCCTCTATTGGTCGATGTGGGAGCAAGGAGTTTCTTATGGGCTGCCTGCGCACGCGCGGCTATGCCAAGGAGGGATGCCGGCTGAAGCCAAGCCATTCAGACAGCTTGTCTTGCTGGGTTCAGGTTTAGGGTGGAGTGGTTAGGGCTTGAAGACAGCAGTATGCAAAGAATGCCATGCAAGAGTGGAAGCGAACAAGACACGGACCAAAAATAGTTGCACAGAGCTAGTACTCTGAGCAACAAGATGGGTAATTATCATGTCGCTGTCTTCCGGGCCTTGTTGAATGCAGTCTGATACATCACCCAGCTGGGACAACATTCCACTGGTGAAGGGCATTGACGTTGGCAAGCTGATCCACGATCAGAACTGGCTCATGCGCAACCAGGGGAAGTTCTACACTTTCGACTCTTGGCCCCAGGCCATTACAGTAGCAGCCAGAAAGTTGGAGCATGGTTATCCTCATGCCTACAAGGCAAATTATAGAGAATCCCAGCACTCTTCATACATCCATTTCCAACTTTCTGTGTTCACCATGACCCTACAACTCCACCTTGGTTGCATCATGACACATCTGCATAGGAATGCAGCATGCTAAGCATCCCTGATCCCTAAATCCAACATGCGAGACTTCAACCCTCGTCCCTCAACCCTAAACTGCTAAGCCCTAAACCCCAAACCCTACGGTCCCTGATCCCGAAACCTTAGAGAAGCCCTAGCTTACACCAAGGTCGAAAAGGAGATGGCCCAGTTGCAGAAGCAGATCAAAGACCTTAAAGGCTCGCGGGTTCGGACTTGGTGCTTTAGCGGGTTTAGGGGCTTAAACCCTAAACCCTAAAACTTAGGCTTCTAGGGTTTGGGGGCTTATAATCCCAATAAGAACCGAAAGGTTCATCTCCCAAAACAATAGGAACCCAAAGGTTAGTCTCCCAAAACCCTAAACCCTAAACCCTAAAGTTCCCCACGATACTGGGCAAGCGGGTAATAAGAAGAAAGACTGCACGGCTCTCAATCCTGGCAGGAGCCATCTTTCAGCCGAGAATCTGGCAAGAATCCAAGAAGGTTTAGGGGAAACCCTAAACCCTAAACCCTAAACTATAGGGTTGAGGGCTCGAGGCTTATAGGGTTTAGGGTTTAGGGTTTATCGGTATTAGGGTGTAGGGACAAACTTCAAAGCCCTGCAGCATGTCAGAAGAGGAGCTCCGAAATTACGCCGCCCAAGCTCAGCTCTGAGACCATCTGAGGAATATGGTTTAGGGTTGAGGCTTTAGGGGTTTAGGGTTTAGGGTTGGAAGGCCACAATCAAGCCCCAGCTCCGTGTTCAGGTGTGTGCCAAAATTTGGCAAATGATGCTTCAGCGGGCTATACAACTGCAGTGTTGGGTGCCCGGCCAATGGCCAAGCACAACACGACTTACTTGCCCTAGGTGCGTCTTGCAAGCGTCTCGGATGCCTCCTCGGCCCTGAGATAGGGGTCTGAACAGTTGATAGTCGCAATACTATCCGCTGATAGAACCAAGAAAGTTATGCTAACAAATTAAACCATAGCAATCGTTTTTGGGGCTGTCCCCATAGGGAACCTATATATGTAAAGCCCTGTCCCTAGATTTGGAGGGCAATGCTGCCTCAAAGACTTCTTGTCAGTGTTCAGCCCTCAACTTCCCTAGACTACATGGGTAGCTCTCTAAATTAGGGTCCCTTTCTAGGTCCCCAATATAGTACGGCACCCTTATCAAGAGGATCCCCAAAGGGGACCCTAGAAAAGAGAACTACTCACATGGGTGATGAACCTCAGGCACTCTGCGGTTCCCACTATTGGGGGAACCTCATATTCAGGAACGGTTTGGGGTTTAGGGTGCTGTGCGCAATTTGTTTTCTGAATCTCCCGCATCGGTTTCAGTGCAGGGTGCGCGAAAGCATCTGAGGAGAAGACTGCGAGCGCGCAGCTTGTTCCTGAGATTTTTTGTTTACTCCTCGGGTAATGACCAGCCGCTGTCAGTTGCCAGCAGCCGGTCGCGGAGATTTCGGATGCCAGCAGAAACGTCTCTCGGCGGGTAGTGTGATGCGGTGCTGAGAAAGACAGAAGGAACCACTGGAACAAGTATAGATAGGCAGGTAGCACTGCCATCGTTCAGTAAGGACGGAGGCGACGACAACACCACCACCAAGAAAATAGCAAGAGCGACAACGACAACTGTAGTGGTTTTGTCGAACGACACCGACTATGGCCTACCAACCTGGGAAACGTAGCCTTAAGGTGTCTTCTGGATTTTCCAATTTAACCCATATGACAATCGTCTCGTTTTGCAAATGACTACTTATGCCGACAGCGCACTCTGTCGCGTGCGGCCCGTTTGGACACCCCGCCGGCATTCGGATCCGAATCCTTTCAATCCAGCTCTTCTGGTTTTTGACCAGACAGGGCTTATGTTGCCAAGCAGGGATTTGAGAGTTCCACTCTATGGCACTGCAGACCCTCACCTGAAACCTCACGGTCATTCGCATGCCATGTAGAAGGCATATATCGGCCTTCGTCATACTCGAAATCTACGTGGTTGCTTCTGAGGTTGTGCTTGGGAACTGATGCACGGCACAGTTGCCGAGAGGTTCAGGACGCATACCGTTTCTACTCAGCAATTCTCAACCCAGAACCCCGGAGCTGACGAAGACGTAAATCTACCGTCTAAAGTAAGCCTGAAACTTGGAATATCCTTATCCTCATGCCCTTAAGGTAAAGTATAGTGGATCCCAGAACTAATCAACCTTAATCCACGCTCCAACATTCTGGGGTTCGCTATGAGGTATATGCATATATATATATATATATATGTGTGTGTGTGTGTGTGCTTCGACTGATATCAGAATTCTCCGTCGTTTCAGGCAGCACTGTTGTCCAGCTACCAAACTACGAGATTCGAACATCGCGCTTAGGTCTTAAACTACTGGCCGGAGATAGGAGTCATAGCCTGAGTCATAGCATCCCTCTCCAGTTCCTGTATGCTTCTAGTCTCTCTCTCTCTCTCTGTCTCTATTAATATATATACATATATATATATATAGGACTATACATACGTCGTAATGTACCCCCCCCCCCTCCCTCCCCAAACCCTATTCAGGCTCCAATATTCAGCCTGCTCATGGAACTTCTCGGTTTGAATTGCAACGCCTCGCTTGGTTGCTTGGGGTAATATAGGGGCCTTAATAATTAGATTAGGGTTTGGGGTATAGTATACTAATAATCGTAGTAAGGAACCCCCCAAACCCCATTCTAAGTATTAAGGCCCTTAATTTTGCAAGCTTATCCCAGGCTGTCGAAACCCTAAAGCCACAGTTTGTAGAGTCTGGAGGCCTGTGCCTCTACGTTTTCACTCTGGTGTTCTTAGGAATTGTGTTTTGATTCTGTTTTTACTGCAGCCGGGAGGTCGTATAGTCGCGAGATTGAAGGTTCTATGGGCTTGTATACGTTCAGGGTTTAGGGGTTTGGGTTTAGGGTTTGGGTTCTTGTCTCGGGCTCATGAGGTTTACGCAGCAGATTACTGGTTGGGGCTTTGGGAATTCAGGAAAATCAAGTACCCAAGGATTGACAAGATGCTTCTCTCACAATCCCAGTTTTCCTGTATCCATAGGGCTTTGAGTTTAGGTTTTCGGGTTTAGGCTTAGTAGCACACCAGGCAATGTGCTTCCGTTTGTTGAGTGGTTTAGGTCATCGTGCCAGAAGTTACGGCTCTTCAATCTTAAATTCTTCAGATCGAGCCCTCCCCCAATTCCCAAACTCTTAGATCCTAAGCCCTAGACTCTACTGCACACTCTATGGCCAGAACTGCAGATGCCGCATCGCCCTAACGGGCTCCCTGCTTTATCTATGCCGGACGGCGAGAAACCGGGGATTGCTGCAAGGGTCATAACAGGTTTCTTCTTGGGGCGTAAAGCTTAGAGCCTGGCGATACCATACAGTTCAAAGGCCCCAAAAACCCTAAACGTTGAATCTTTCCTAAGTCCCAGATGCACGCGTTGTGAAGGGTCTGTTTTGAGAACTCCTTTACGGGTCCTACTGCACTTGGATCGGTATTTGTTCGTCAAATAATGTGGGGGCAACCTCGAAATACAAGGCCCATGTATTATGCGCCGACCATCATATCATATATCATGAGTTTTCCCCCTGTCATGCGGAAAGGCCGCGTAGACCTTGCACCCTACCGCAGGTGCGCTAACCAACTCTGGTGTTGGCATAGGAGACAGGGCCCCCTGGAAGCGGGGTGCAGTCCGACATGCGAGGCACTCTGGCTTCTTTATGCATTAAGCTTGAGTTTGCTTCCGCCATCTAACACAACCCCCAGACTTGTTGCAGCATTCGGCTGTTGGCTCCGAGAGATCGGAGCCTCGTGTGAGTAGTACGTGGTACAGAGGTTCAAGATTACGATCGTATCAATGGTGACGGGACCGACTCATCTACAGAACAGAATATCAGCAGGAGTGCAGCCTCTGTTGTCGTTGCTTGAGGACTTTGGTTGTAGATTCTGTTCGCGATCTTTCAGGGCATGTGGGGTATGTGGAGAGGGCCTCGTATCATTGTTCGTACGGTTGCCCCAGCAGCAGTCCACCCACGTTGCTCACCGCTGCTTTCTGAAGAGAACTTTGCTGACTGCCTGAGTCGGCACCGTGACCTCTGCACTTACAGTATCCTAGGGTCCAAGTACCTAAACATCGTACACTCTCCATGTATTTCGGCTTCAAAACCCTAACCCCTAGGGTCCAAGTACCTAATAATCGTATACTTTCGATGTATTTCGGCTTCAAAGAGTGTCCTGCAGGGTAGCCTCAGGGCAACCGCTCTGAATAGGTACATGGACTCGCAAGGTAAAGCATCGAGCCTCCAATGGACACCTGCCTTGCAACCGAAGACGGCATTCAACCATGGCTCGCCAGGCTGTAGACGCAACAGCGAACTGGGCTTCGGATCCGCTTCGAACATGTTCAGGGTTGAGGACAACACACGTTCTTACCTCTCAGAAGCTAGATTGCAGCCTGTTTAGATGCTGGGCGATGCCGTTCCAGGTCCTTCAGAGAGGCTCACGTGTTCGAATAATAAGTTTAGGGTTTAGGGTTTAGGGTTTAGGGGTTTAGGGTTTAGGGTTTAGGGTTTAGGGTCTTGACCTTCACATCCAGGGATACAGGCTGCGTTGTGCCCATGGGAGACTGGTGTGCACCTCCGCTGGATCAACAGCGTTCATCTGAGTGGTTCTCAGCTGGGAGTTTGGATTAAATATAGCACAAGGGTCTCAGTAATGCTTTATATGTTTGATATTTTCGTCTTGTTTTAAATACTTTACGCTGAATCCCGTTCATTGGATCTTACGGTTCCTTACTGTAGCTCCGCTACAATGATAAAGAGGGCCCCTTAGCCCGAGGGTCGGTACATATTCCTGAGGGGTTTAGGGTTTAGGGTTTAGGGTTTAGGATTTAGGGTTTAGGGTTTAGGGTTCCATATTCGGATTCTGCTATCCCAACAAAGAATGCCCCCGATTACATGTTACATATCCCTCAAGGTTCCTGACGGTTGCTCTGCAAGAAATAAGGCCCGTTTTGTAACTATAGTACCAGCACATCTTCCCTTCATACAGTGATCTTGCAGCTGGCTTTATCAATAAACTCATGTTCACATGCAGTGTTCTGGCATAAGGTTTAGGCATTCGACGCATTCGACCCTAAACCCTAAACCCTAAACCCCCCAAAGAGGTCGAGGTTACTTTTGCAGGTTGGGGGTTGGGTCAGGGTTGAGGGCTTAGCATGTGCAGGAACCTACAGGTCCGTGACGAAGGCGGTGAGGCTGTACATGACATCGCCACGGAAGGAAGAAGCTTAAGCCTAAACCCTAAGACTCATATACCGCCCGAGCCTGCCAAACCCTATAAGTATATACATATGTTCTGTATATATACACACATAGATATATGCGTTGATTATGTGTGTGTACTATTCATCATTCGATTTCGGAACGTGTGTAAGTCTTGGCAAGCCGTAGGTCCTATCAGTGTAAGGCCTGCAGCCGAGCTGTTTCTTGCTGAAAACCCTAAACCCTGAACTCCTAGATTCGTTGAAAGTCGAAGTGCTGCCTGCCACGCTGCAGGGCTTTACAGGGTATCACTCTGCAAGGGTCTTTTTGAATTACTGCCTCTAAAGTTTAGAGTTGAAGCTTGTGGGCTTAGAGTTGAAGCTTATGGGTTTAGGGTAGCATATGTCGGGGACCTTTGCGATGTCCTCGTGTGCTGAACTGTTTGGCTGACTCCAAGCGTCTCTAAACCCTAGACCTAAAACCTGAACCCTGAACCGGTTCTGGCATTGTTTCTCTCTGGCTTAATTCCGGGTGCTGCATGATGCAGGGAGCTCCGACTCCAGCTAGCAAGAACATCTACATTCACTGAGCGAG